TGAGGTCCTGTTTGTGCGTACTTTAATTTAAGCAATAATACTTTTGCAATCCGTACAGAGATTTTTCACCGAATGGAAATGTGGGTAAAACAGGAGGCTTTAGCATCGCCTTAACGTGGAAGTCAAATGCAAACTACAATAAAAGTGCAAGGAAGCCGAATATGTAAATACTCTCTTTCTCTCCTGATTATGGACTTCTCTGTTACACTACTAGATAAAAAGAAGGGAAGAGAAAGAAGAGGGAACCCATTAAAATAATAAATGAAACCGAAATGAATTAGATTCAGAAAATCAGTATCACTTTTAAACTCAATTTGTAAAAATTCATCATAATCCTATCTTTTAATGTACAAGTTATACAATTCGATTTATTTGAATATAGATAATAATAAATGAAATATTAGAAGAATATTCTGTTTTCAAAATACATCTAGAAGAGACTTTATGGCCAGAAGATATTGGCTATTCTCGGAAGAATGAGTGTGATACCAATAGTAGAAAGGAGATTTACACTGTGATTATCTAGAATTTGTTTTCCGCAAATGTGTTTTACACCTTTCCCTGGCCGTTCGACTATAATACCCTTTTCGTCTACTCCTAAAAAAATGTATTAATTATGGCACATTATGAAGATTTAATTTGAGGCTAATTCGACGAAACCATCGAGAAACTATTCTGAACCTAAAACGATAAAAAAACATACGAAATCGGAAAGTACATTTACATTACCTGAATACTGTAAAGTCGCACCGAGAATAGAATCTAAAATGCTGCCAAAGAGACCTCCAAATGCTGCGACGATTATGATGGGCCATTGTGGTGCTGCTAATTGCAGTACGGCTGTGTCAACGGTGTTTAATACCATAATATAATAAAAAAGTCCAACTATTAAACCACCAACGACAGAACATACCAGACCTATCCATGATACACCACCATTCGTTCCTGAAACAACGAAATATGAAGAATTCATATTAACAATATTTATTATTAATAAATTAATTATTAATGTAATTGTAAGAAAAATGACAATTAACTTTCTATTAGCAACTGACAAATTAGATTACGTATAGAATTTATCATTGTATAGGATTTCTTATTTGAAATAAAAAAAATTTATTCGTTTATCCCACAAAACTCATTCTTACCTCTCGGGACTTTTTTTCTCGTCGTAATAAGGAAAGGATCACCCATGCCAATCACCGTACCAAGCTCAGAGGCCCACGTATCACCGTTAGAACACGCAAATGCCCCTGTAAAATGCAAAATTGTAAATTTTATTTAAAATTCAATAAAATTGTTTGCAATAGTGTTTTAATTTCTATAAAAAGAATATTAGAATATTGACTTTTACCTATTATTCCAATGGATAACCATGAACTTCGATATTCCTTGTCGAAGTCAATTGGTCGTTCTCCGCTCCCAACATCCAATAGATATAATAAAGCTAATTGCGTAGCCATGCCACCATTACACAAAACCTGGATCCAATTCCGTTGGCCACCCTCCTTGAAATCGACTTCCATCTTCTTTTTTTGCGCAGACCGAAATTTCGTCACCTTTGATCCAGTGACAAAGAACGTCATAAGAGCCATTAAATGAGCAAAACTCGAAAGTGTCAGGATAAAACCCATAAAAAAACCTATAAAAATTAATTAATTATATATTATTATTACATGTTATACAAATTGATGCTACACAATTATTATATCTTACAAAGCTAATGCAAGAATTCGTTTAGAAGAATATATTTCCACAAAATTTTTCTACATTTATCTTCGGTTATTGACGTCTTACGTTTCCGTGTTCTGTTATATAATATTATCTGTTATGCTGATTGATTGTAATATTATAATTTTAATCATAAGACGGCGCGCGAAATTTGATTTATTGACAACCCTAATGTTACATTTATTCTGCAATGCGGTAACACATGCGACGAAGGCTGCTTTGTTATGATTATACATATGCCACTTACGCTCACAACGCTCGTGGAATCATTTCATCCTTGTCGTTTATCAAATGTTAAACAAGGACAAACAATGCTCGCGAGCGTTGTGGAACGCAGCCTTAAGGTATTTCTCCGAGAAATTGAGTTTTTATAGATTTTTTGAAATTTAGATATTATGTTTAAAATAATTTTATCTATATATGATTAAAATTTCGAAGACTCTAGCGGTGCCGAAATAGAGATATTTACCTTCAAAGTTTCAACTTTTAATACGTAAACTCCTATACCAAGCCTTGCTGAAGCAACGTTTTAATACTTTGTTACAAAAATTTTCTACAGATTTAAAAAAAAAATAAATATATAATGTAGAAATATTATAGGAACCTTATTAAAAAATAGATAGGCCTAGCGGTACCGTTTCCGAATTAGAATAATTTAAATTTGAAATTTGATGGAATTCTCCTTCTCGGACGCCGAGCGGCGAGACAAGGACATGCTGTTGCCACATTTCAATGTCTTCAATGTGGACTAGTGTTCATGCACACAGATATGACATTTACGCGTGTATGTGTACGCTCGCCTCAAAAGTTTCTCTCTTTAGAGAGCACGCGCGGAGAGGCATATTCGTAGGTTGTACGCGATTAACTTTCTAACGCGATTGTAGCCGGAGAAATACCTTAAGTAGACGATTATTTATATATGTATACTGAGAATATAACCCAGAGAGAATTGTGAGTTGAAAACGTTTATTGAAATTAATATTTAATAAATATAAAACACACGAATAATTGATAACTTTTAGGTATTCTTTTTTTTATTGATTTTTGCTCTTTAGAATTTAATTTCTGTTTCTATTTTAATTAATCATATTCTGATAGTGCAAGTAGAACTTATCAAAAGTCTATCATTTCATGAAATGTAATTCAAAGAGAAAAAAAATGTTTATTAATAAATTTTATTTTAATTAATTATATGAATATAAAAGTATTGTTTTAATTTTTTCTTTATTTAGTACATAAATATATACGCGATTAAACATTTCCCAGGAAAAATTGTTATACATATGAACATATTTTATATATAATTATATATAATTTTATATAATTATGTACAATTATATATAATTGTACAGGAAACATTTTTTCCCGGGACTTTATATCACTTACGTCCGTTTCTACCAATGTAGTTTAATTTTAATTTTGATTTAACTAACTCTTCAATTTTTCTAGTTCTAAGAATTAAAAAAAATGAAAAATAAGTTAAACAAAGAATTAAAATTAATCTACATTGGTAGATACAGGTACTGATGCCTTATATGTATAATCATAACAAATTATATTATTTTCACTACCAAGAATTCCACCGCTAATGTCCAGA